AGATGTTGGTCAGACTCTGCGATTGCATCGCGATGGTCCAGTGCCGGAGCGACGCGATCGCTGACCGACATCTTAGGGCGCATTCGTAGTCGGTCGTCCGGTCGTAACGATCGTAATGATCGCACAGCACTCGACCATCAGACGTGTTCGAGGACTGGTTGATCGATACGCATCCAATGCTGTGCCGTCGTTACGATCGTACGACCGGCTATAAATGCGCCCTTACAACGAACTATTCGTATTCTGTCGGTCTTGGCGCACTTTTTTCCGCAAAGTTGAACTTTTGTTGCGCTTAATGAGTGGCCCGTAAGCCGTTCATTTGTTTTGATATGTTCTAAAGAAGCGAGTACTGATCAGACGTAAGCAAACCAGCCCTTTTGGCGCTTCGGCTGGGACCGTATGCTGAATGTTGGGGAGGGGATGGAGTCCCCGACGGTGGACGGACCACTTCAACTCGGTCCTTAGAACCGCCACAATTTGGTGCTTACCTCAGAACTAAGCCTTAAAGAGAGGACGGGTCCGTCCCCTCTCCAAGGCTTAGTCCTGGGGTGAGCAAACCAGCCCTTCTGGCGGAGCTGCTGGACCAGCTGCACCACTTGCGTCAGTACTCTCCTATCGTACCAACCGAGTTGAAGTAAACCGTCGACCGTTGGGGACCCCATCCCCTCCCCAACATTCAGCATACGGTCCCAGCCGAAACGCCAAAAGGGCTGGTTTGCTTACCTCGTACTGATCATTCGAAAGATTAGAGTTAGTCACATATCCTAACCTTCCATTATATAAACTGTAGTAAATTTTGTCTTGTACAAACCGCATTTTTTGCTTTGCTAAGTTGAAGGCCAGTGTGTTATAATTTGACTTTTCAGTGTGAACCCTGATGCGGAATTTCTCTTTGCATTCTGTAATGGTGTGCTTTCGCGGCTCCCCAGTCAATTTTCACATCTAGTCAGTCAAATGGTCCCGCTCTGGATCTACGCTATTCTCGCGCATTCAACGAAAAGAGGTCAGTAATTGCATTTTGGAAGCCCTCCTTGCCAGTTTCTGGATTAAGCTCAAAATTTTTTGAAGTGTTGACTGTGCCCTGATGCTGGCTTTTAGTCAGCTCTCTGCCACGCCTACCATTGAAGCCTCTTTTACGGAAACAGTATTTGGTTTATAATTTGGGCGACAAGGCTCAAGGTTGTGGCGTGGAGCAGCCAGAGAGAGAGAGAGTAGCTGAAGCCTTCACTTTTCTTCGAGAGATTTTCATTGTTTCTTCATTCGTAGTACTTTGTGCAATTTAGAGATGGACACGAAAAGGTTTACGTCGTTGATTTGGGATCACATAATGCGAATCTTGAATAACATTGTACCATGTGCGACCATGGAGTTATCATTAGGAAACCCGGAAGCGTTCATCACAACATTTTTCACGGTAACTGCTGTGTCTGCCTGTAACTTTATTCAAAGGAGGGTTTTCTAGTTTCATCCCCAAATTATTGCACATCTAGGCGCTCGGCAGTAGTACCGCATCAGGCGACGTCATACGGAAGATAGTTGCAGATTCGGTGACGATTCACCTGGCAAATCAAATAGCTGCTCTGCTGAAAAATGACGATAAGGAGCTACAGGTAAGCGTTGCTCGGCCCGTGGTGTGAGCTTTCACCAAAACATTGTAAAAATGTTAAGACTAAGAGGAATTTGAAATCCAAGTGAATGAAAAAAGCGCAGAAGGTGAAGGCGGACCGTTGGATCCTATTGTAGGGTCCGATGAGGGCGCGTTAGTTTTGATAAGGTGAATAGGGACCTCGAGAATTCTATGGGTACTAGAAAGGATGCCAGTGTCTGAAAAGTAGTAGGTACCGGGGTTTTCTGCACCTCATCCTACTCTTCGATCTGGATTTTGGTTCTCAGAAAAGTGTCTCTTGCTGCGAACTTCTCGCAGGTTCATACTCGCCCAGCCCTAACTTGTTCAGCCTTTCTCTGGATCACTATTTAGTAATGAATTTTTTTCTTCTTTTTCAATTTCGTGATTCTTGCTTCCATATGTTATACAGTACATCTTATGATAGTTTTATAGGAACGAGTAATAAGAGTATGTGGCGAGATGTTCTGTAATGTTGGTTCCATTCTGTTGTCCATCGCTGAAGCCGATGCACAACGTACCGGGCTTAACCGTACTGCTTTTGTTGTGCTGACACAAGCTCTGGTTTCTAAGGTATCTTGAAAATTTGAATTACATAAGCTCTTATTCTTTAATCGGTCTGTTGTTCAGGATCCATAGCCTTTTATGAATTCTTCTTTTAATTTTGAAACTTTTCATTCCAGCTCCCAATCCCTATCTCGTGCCCTCCTTAGAGATTTCTCCCTTCATCAAGCATTATTTTTATCCGCTTAATCGGGATATTGCTGGAGCTGCACGAATTTTTCTAATATGTGTTCTTATTTCAGATGGTTAAAAGTTCAATGGATCCGGATTTCCTACTGCAAATTGTTCCATCATATGTGGCAGCACTAGTAAGATTGCCGTACAGAATTTTCATCTACTCTCGTATCAAGGATCTGCTCTTCAAGTTTGGAGACGATTCAACGATAGCGTCAAGAATAACAGTGGAACTCGAGTTCCTGCATGGGACGGTAAATAATTCTTTCAAGTTCGAACTATTAGAATAATTGGCTTTCTTACTTTGTATTTGAAGTTCTATCATGATTACTAGGGGATTGGGCTTTATCGGGTCTTTATTTCATACGGCCCATGAGTCAGCAGGACTGCTAAACCCCTTATTTTTTATAAAATCACTTTTCACTCGCCACGTTAACGTGCGGCCCGCTAAAAGGATGGCGACATTTATTCGTATGTGTCGTGCAGCAACTTCGTTCGAGTGTTATACTTACCGCAGCAAACTCACATAACCACTGTTTACGGGGTCCTGATCAGCACCTGACGTTATCGCAGAAAACTCAGATAATCGCTGTTTACGGGGTGTTGGTCAGTCTCTGGTGTAAATCTCCTGAATGACAATATTTTCGCTCAAGAAAACCATGTTATAAAGACCTGTTCACAGTACCGCAAATAAAGTTACTCCTGAAAGTTTTCAACTTATCTTGTTCCAGGCACACTACAACCAGCTGGCTAAGGAATCTGATCAACGGTTACGAAAATTTGTCACGAGTCCTGAGCAATAGCGTTACTGAAGTCACCCATATGGTCTTCTGAACCTATAGCGTCTCCCGAAACGTTCGCAGTTCACTCTACCTCAGTTCACAATTTATTGAACAGTGTTTATAGAGAAAAGCACAATGGTAATAAGGCTGCCGTTATACTTTCGTAAGCATATTCTCTTTGAAGACAGAGTATTTGAATACT